GGTAATTAAAATGAAATTATAATAGACGAATGAATGATTATGATCTTGTATGGCTTGCTTTGATACGAGGCCCCCGTAGCTGCCACGAAGCCGTGCAGGTTTAGTTGCCGTGGTGTCATCCCCGCTTGATATGCATATCTCGTATGGTTGTGTCTGGACACTTCACCGCTGTTTACTGGAATCCTTCGATCAGTTGACTGTTTAAGGTTTGCCGGTGCTGGATAGGGAGGATATCGCGGGGTGTGATATCATTGTCGCAGCCTAGTATGATTAGATAGTCGCGATTTTGGTAGGTCCTGTAAGCATAGCATTGTCTAGTTGACTTGAATGACTATTCTGTTCATTGTCGCGAGACAGAATAGCTCGTCTGTGGTCATTTCTTATCTATGTAGCTCGGTATAAGGGAGCTTCGAGATCCGGCCATTTCGAATCGAGATAATCGACAGTAAATCCTCTCTCTTCTGCTTAAACCAGATGGACATAGTATGGACATAGTATACGATTGCTTTCGCATTCTCTGAAATATTCATAAGTCGTAGGCTTAGATCCAGGAAGTTCGAAGTATATATCTTCAGCATTCCGACCAGAGCGCAAGGATACCGTCACGATATAGCTATTTAACTCGATCTCTCATATGAACAAACTGTCAGATGTCACAATAAGCACCCGGATATATAGTCATCTACTATAGACGTAAGCATCGTATCTCAACGGTATCCCGATCGCGTCTCAGATATACTCGAGACACCTTGTACGAAGTGAGATGTCTCGACGCCCTTTATATATATCGACCATCACCATATATTTAATTCTTTATTTATTATAAGCAAAGCCAAAGAACCAGAAAAAATATTAGAAAAAGAATCTACCCCTCAATGAAAGCCCAGTCCAGTGACCCCGTCATTCACCTCAGCGATCACTTGACCAAGTCCACCGCTATGAATGACCACAATGCTCCGTTGTCTCGCCTTATAATAATAACTACAAAGAAGCGTAGTCTACTCCGTGGTTTATTTGAATAAAATATTCAAGCATTCAAGAATGCCATCTTTGTTGTCATTCACTGTCTTTGTTTCTTGTTTGGTCTTACCTCGCCCTATGGCCGATACAATAGGGACTTGCCAGATGAGATTCACCGTTGATATATGGGAATTGTGTATATAAACGGATTTCTTGCTCGTTCCTTCCGTTTTCGAATATATAGGACCTGTCAGGGTCGCCCCTTCTACTTTCGTCAAACGGTCCTGGATTTCATCCAGCCCTATCAATACACTACACCTAGAGCATCAATTACCTCCATGCCAACGACAGCGACAGCGACAACGACAACAACAACAACAACAACAACAGCAGCAACACCATCGACAATGGCCCTCCTCGCCCAAGAAGAGGAAATGGTAAGCCTACCTTCTCCTTGTCCAATAAACCATGAAGAATCAAGCCCTGACGGAAGTATGCAGAACGCAACCCTCCAAGAAGCTCTAGCATGCATCACCTGCACCCTGCATCTCACCAAAGCGAGTATGCGCCGGGATCTCAAAGCGGGTATGTACGATCCGGCGCGCGATCCGCCGTTTTCGCATTCACACGCGAAGGCCTGTCCGAGCGAGGGATGTGGGGAGGATCATGATTCGGATTACTTCGATTCCGACGACTCTGGATCTGGATCTGGATCTGAGAATCAGTTTGATTCGGGCTGTTACTCTGGAGAAGAAGACGACGACGACGACGACGACGACGACGAAGAATGGGACGAAGGGGAAGGAATATCCCCCCTCTCGACACCAACGCCCAAGAAAACCCCACGATATGCGCGTCTGATCACGCCGCTTCAACGACTCTCGTATCAATCTTGTGTTTCGGACGTTCTCGGCCAAGGACGGAAACAGGGACTTGAACCGGTCAAGTCAGTTAAAAGCGATGAAGAGGATGAAGATCTTCGCTTTGCATATTACCAAGTCGACTACCATATTCACCTTCACGACCGCGCGCGTTGTAGCATGTTGACGCTTTGTCGTGATATTGAGGATGTGAGGCAGTTGCGTGGGTGGGAGATTGAGATGGGGCAGTTGGATGAGGTAGAGGCTAGAGTAGTCGATGAGTCTGATACTACTACTACTGCCACTACTACTAAAGCAGCAGCAACAACAGCAGAAAACGAACTCTTCACAGTCCACCAGATAGCACTGTGGAAACGACGCTGGCGACTCCGCCAAAAACGCGTCAACGATGTGAGAAGAAAATGGGCGCAGATCATGGTAGAGCGCAAGAGACAGCGCGAGGAGCTGCTGCTGGAAAGAAGAAAGATGTTTCGCGCCAAGGTGAAGTTGTATACCTGGAAGGAGGGAGATAAAGTGTTGCTCAGGGAGTTGAGGTTGTAATGTATTGCATTTGCATCAAATCGGATTAAAGTCGAACCGTGATATTGACAGATAATCAGTTACCAGTTAGTTACCAGAAGATACCCCGAAATCAATTGATATGTTCAAATCCACCAATCCAATTCAAAACGCCGTATGTGCATTCCCAAACAAAGCGGATATCAATGATCATAACGTGAAAGAACCAAAACAGATATAAAACCACCAAAGGCTCTAAGCCTGCTCAACACCTGTCATCTGGACATCAGGACTCTGCGCGACGGGCTGCTTCACGTCCACCGGGTGACTGCCAGGAGTCTCTTCACTCCCGCGCTCCGGCCGCTTCCTTCCCAATCGATCGCACCAGTGTTCCGCGCTCACTAGAGTGTCATTGACCACTCCACTGACCTGTGCCATCATGTCCAGACCCTCCTGCGCCAGGACGAGAATCCGATGCGCACCAACAGTGGCATCCGACGATGACTCCGGCGAGTCGGGCGAGGGCTGCGAAGTAGAAGCGATCTGGAACCGATGCGGCAAGGAAGTCAGATGCTTACGGACAAGGTTCCGCGCGTTCTCTGGGAGGGCACCTCCCGCATATTTGGAGACGACGTTGACCACCTGTTTCAAGGTGTGGAGGACGTCCTGCCTGACGGCTTGAATGCGCTGCGATAGCAGCGTGTTCCTGCCCGCCGAGTTCTCATTCAGCTGAAGAGAACCAGAATCCCACTCCTTCAATGCACCCTGCAGAGCCAGAATGGCTTTACCCAATCGTCCATTCGCCCAGCGCAGCCAGGTGAGACAGTACTGCAAGCTCCGCAGCGATTCCTCACTCATCGCGACACCAAGCCCAGAAGTCGAGATGACTAGTCGACTCTGCCAGTTGGAGTTTCTGGTAGCCGTGGCCTTCTCTCGGCCAACTTCATCATAGCTCGGCGAAGTATGATCATCATACGGCGGCAAAGTCTCCGGAAGAGAAACCTCCGACGCGGTGCGCATGATGCCCTTTTTGTCGCTGACGTCGCCAAGGTTCTCGTCGCGCCCCTTCTCCAAATCTCGCTCCTGGTTATTCACCTTACGACGCTTCGACCGACTCGCAGTAGACCCCCGCTGATGCTTCAGCGCCCAGCGCAAACCGCTTTCAACACCTGTCTTCCTACCCACAGTGCCCACGGTACTAGCGACGGGCGACCCGATATTCCGCTCGATGAATTCAGCGCCAGTCTTGAAACGTGGTGAGTATGATTTCGAGGTGGTATAGGCGGTCATAGACCCGGTGATGGCGGAGGAAATCAGCGGATGGGTGGAGGTGAGGAGAGAGAGGAGGGGTTCTGCTTGTTTGGAGTCGGAGGTGGGACGAGGCGGGGAACGAGGGGAGTGGGCGAATTCTGTCACCGTTAACACAGCACATAGTATCTTTGGATGTGAGAGAGAAAGATACCAGAACGAAGTCCCTCAAGAGCCTGCGCGGCCTCGATGTCATCCATAGAGAGCACACTGGTAGCCCTCCTCGAACGGTCGTCGGGAGAATTGTCGACCTCCATCAAGGGAGCATGTTGGACAGAAGTATCCGGAGAAATAATAGTCGTATGATTATTCACAGCATTCACAGCTTGGGGATGCTGCTGTGTTGAAGCAGGAGGGATGGGAGTGGGTGGGTTTCCGTCCGCCATGGCATTGGCGATCTTTTCTGGACTGAACACAGTGGAGAGTTCAATAAAAGAAATAAAACTCTGTAATAAACGGACTATTCTTTCATGTGGACGAATGGAAGTCACCGGCGAAAGGAATAGGGAAATGGTATAGAGTAGAGGCACAGGCACTGAGAGCGAAGAAAAGCCGAGAATGTGACGGCGTTTCACGTGAAGCCGGACAGAGTCCGATTACACGCTGAAATGCTGTGACATGACTCGAGGTGTGCTTCACATGCTCGGCTTGTGCTTGCTTACAATAATACATCTAATCAGGCCACAATACTAGTGATACTACATACTGCATAGTACACACTAGTACTACGTACTGTTCATGTCTTCCTGAATTTGATGTCACATGCAAAACATGATTCGTGACCGCTTTCTGTTCTCATCATTCGTCAAGCTATCCAAATCGAGTAATCGCTCTATAACCTCAGTGTATGTACACGACGCTGTACAATGCTCTATGCAGAACATGTTGCTTTTTGATCCTTCGATGTCGGTTCTTCCTCCAAGGGCAGGGAATCACCCCACGGAAAACGTATCGTTCGGATCCCAATACCCCCCAAGAACCTGCTGCGTCCCATGCAGACACATTGCCTCAATGGCATACTCCCCCTCATACTCAAACTCATCCACCTCTTCACCACTCGCAGGAATCTCGCGCGCTGTCAACCGCGACGCTGCCTTCTGGTTAAACCGGTAACAAGCCAAGATTTCATTCGTGACTGTCCGTGAGGGTATGGTACTCGCTTTAATCTGACAGAGTATCTCCCCGAAGGCGTGGATGACGAAGCTAGCCTCTGGGCACTTTTTGTACGCACAAGAGGCTAGCACTCGCATCCACGCGCCGTGGTCATGCCGCCAGGTATGTAGAAGTGGGTGGTCGCCCCGCTTCGCAGTCGGTGGCGGGATGGCCTTGGCCCGCTCTGCGGCCTCGCGCGCCTGAGTGAACTCGCGCATAGTGTTGTTCTCGCCGCGGAAGGAACTGCTCCATTGCTGCTTTAAGTTGTTGAACTCATGCACCGTATTTTCCAGTATGGCTTGGAGGTTTCCGCTGTCCACCTTGTCAGCCTGCGCTAGCTGACATGCCTCGTTCCACGGCCGGATGAGATCCTCGTCGAGGTCCCGCATGATGGCCGCTTCGGGGAATTGGCGCTCTAGCTGCTCAAGCACGGTGTCGCGCTGTCGTGACGCAACCCAGAACTTGAGGTAGTCGATGATGTTGCTTGTTTTGTACCGTCGTCCTAAGTTGCGGTATGCGGGGGGTTCTCGCGTGCGAGGGCTAATTCGCTTGCGATATTGCCGCCATGCTTGTTCTGAGAGATGCACGCCACCCTTCCGGCCGTCGACCAAATGGCCCAAAAGACTGGCTAGTTCTTTCGCATTCCGCGAGTTAATCGACTCATCGTACGAGACTTTCTCATGCTCAACCGTGCACCGTCCCAGATTTGACAGCGTCAGGTTAAACGTAAACACCCTCTGCCAGAATTCATCCGGAGACTGGATCTCGCGCATTGGCACCGAATGCTTCGTGAACCCGAAATGCTCTGCCGGATACGACAGTTCTTGCTCGGGTAGATCCGAATTCTGGAAACTTTGCACAATCTTCTGGTCCCAGCATATCCATGGTGTATCACCATCGTAGTCACCGCCGGAAAGCATATGTGCCAGGGGCATATCGCCCTGCGTCGAGAAGACAATCACATCTTTGAAATGGCGCAGCTCAGGTTTCCAAACAGCGCGTCTACGCTGGATATCGGAAGGTAGGTGAGCAGGTAGTCTCCCGACGAGAACATCCATACCATCGAGCAGATTATCCTCGAACGCAAAACCACCCGCTTGCCAGTTATTGGAAAACCCGAGATGGACCTCGTCAGGCCTCAGAGCGCCATACGGGTCAGCGATACAAAACGCATACGTCGACAGTGGTACCTCAATATGCAACTCATCTACATACTGCTTCAGCAATGCACGCAGACATCTCCCCAGCCGCTTACGGAGAGGATAGAAGCTCTGCGGCGCAAAGCCAGCCTCGGTAAAGCGGACGATCCCCTCGATATCGTTAGCAACCCACTGCTCCAGCCGTCGGACCTTGTAAGCCATCAATCCAGAATTATCATCAGCCGGCCGGAGTTTCTGTATCAAACTGCGGCACAGGATATTGCTATTCGACTGCAAGACCTCAGCAAAGTCCCTGTATAACGCATCAATGCCCTCACGGGTCAATTCAGCAATGTATTCCTTGACACTGCCACCATTCTCTAAGATCCCCAGTAACTGCACATTCAACTCGACAGGGTGTAATGGCTTCGACCACTTGACAACCTCAAACGTCAACTTTTCCTCGTCAATGGGCTCTTGCCACGACTCCGGATGCGGTTCGATTTTCAATTGCGAATCAGATATCTGGATCCAGATATCATCATCGTCAGCAAAAGGATGTGACCGGCGTCGATCAACCATCCACAACCCCTTGGCACCCGCAATTCGTCCCTGGAAACAACTAGGCGTGTTTCCTGAAATCCCCAACGAATCGCATATCTCCTTCGCCAACCCCCGAGACATCAACGCACACCCGTCATTCATGACAGTCTGACCGGGCTTATCGCGCAGATGCAGAACTTGTCGCGGCCGTAGTACCGCAGTCGCGAATGTCTTGGACAAACCGATCGAGATACGCTGAAAGAGTTTACAGTTCGACTGCGACATATTCGCTTCCGCGGGCATGTGCCAGTCCCTTAGGGCTTCAATGGTCATCGGCGTGCGGTTCTCGCTTTCCTGGCGCGGTGGTGCGATGCTTGGCGGGAGGCGGTAGGTATGGTCGAAGTCTTCGCCGTCGATAGCGAAGAATTCAACTTTGAATCGCGGTTCAGACTTGGTTTTGCGTTTTGATTTGGCTTCCTCCACGAAGAATGGCCGCCATGTCCGGCCCATGCAACGGTGGACATTCTGTGTCAACCACGAAGCCAGACTCTCGCGTAGTAGCAACGACTGGGACGGCAGACGCAATTCTTCTGGCGGCCTTGTCGGCGCTGGCATCGTCAAGCTCAGGAACCGATCTGATCCGAAGCGTCGATGAAACCGACACGTCTTTTCCGTCTTGAGCGGATTCAGTCTCAATCTTAGAATCCCTGGCTGATCAGGCTCGCACCAGTCCAACTCCCCAGAAAACACAACTACCTCGGAATGTTTGTCTGATTTGAAATCCCCTATCGCAGAATCCCAGGCCCGTCGATTCGACCGCTCGGGAAGCAGTTTTCCATCTCGCTGGTTGTGTCCCGCAATCCACCCGCAGAAGCTGTCGTACGTTTTGAATGAGATGCTATCACCCACCAGCATCCGGTCAAACGGGACATCCCAGGCTCTGCCTATCCGCTCCAGTTCGTACCGGTATCGTAGTGAGATGGAAGGCGGGAACGAGCGTTCAAGCGAGAAGGGTCCTTTGCGCAGGAGTTCTGCAACGATCTCTTCTTGTTCCAGATATATGGCATTAGATGCCTCGCTCATAGCTTCGGTGCTGAAGGTAGTTTTCATCTCCTGGCTGAGCATGTGGCCCACGACAGAGCCTTCGTGTTGTGTCTCTGGCTCCATGAGAGATTCGATTGGCTCTGTGGCATTCAATGCAAAAGAAACGCCCAGGCCACTGTCCTTCCTGGATTCATTGTAGGACGTCGTAGTCGTTGAAAAGCTGTATCGAGCGTTGTTCTGCTCTGGTGGCACGGCATCGTATCGAAAAGACGGCGGATCGGGCGCTGTCAGCCGCTCGACGAAGCTTCCTGGGCCCCTCTTGGGGCCTTTGGAGACATGGCTGCTGTTGCTGCTAGTTCTTGAGACTGATTGCGTAGAATCCAATGTCCAATTTGTATTATCCAGCGTAGGATCGGGAAATTCATCTTCGCCGTTCTTGGATGGTGAGCTTGGCGCTGTATGGTATTCGCCTTCATCGTCTGAATACCTCCTTTTCGTCGGCCTGGGTAGGACTGGTGGTTGTTGTATCGTAGCCGGAGCTGGTGCTGGTGCCGGAGCTGGTTCCAATGTCAAGTTGGAAAGCTGCCTTGGGGTTGGTTCGTGTGGACTCGGGAAATCATGACTCTGGCCGTAGCCATTAGTATACCCATTCCGTCTAAACGGCGGAATCATTCCCTCATTGAGCAGGTAGATCTCATCATAAATCAACTTCACAAGATGCCTCAACCTTGCATCCCTCTCCTTCTGCGAAATACACTTCCTCCCAGCCCCATTCATCTGATTCCTCGAGGCAATCCTCGTCGTCGCATCCGACCTCCTCGCTCCCCAAAATCCCCCCCCACCACCACCAGCAAAAGACTGCGCAACAATCCACTCCTCAAAACTATTAATCAAATCCCCCACATCAACCTTGCGACTAAAATACACCCTCTTAATCCCAGAATAGCACTTCCATCGCAGCGTCTGCTCCTGCTCGTTCCTCAGCTCCGCAGAGACAGATGGCGAATACGCCTGAGGATTCGGGAGATCGAGGGTGAATTGCTCGTTTAGGGACTCGATTAGTTGGTGTAGTTCTTTGCCGTTTCGGATGGGCGTTGAAGGGGCCATGGCCGTGGCCGTGCCGGGGTTGGTTGCTGGATGGCACGGCCCGCAACCAAACAAGGTAAATAACCAAGCCAGGTACGAGTGAGGGTTGTTTCCTAGCGCTACGGCTTGTTAGTTGTTTGTGGTCTTGATTTAAACCATTTGTACTTGTCTCAATTGCTCAGAATAATAATAATACAACACGGTACAGAGTAGAAGAGAACGTCATGTGGAATGGAGGGGTTCCCCCCCCCCATCAAAAGCGGGCATCATTGGCCGGTCAACAGATCGACTGGAGCCGACAATTGCCATGTAAATCTTTGTTTATGGTCCTTATCCAAGCATATCAGTCTTTGAAAAGGTGAAATTGAGTTATCCAAATACACATCCTGATCTCGGCCTCACTGAATGGCTTCGTTTCCTTGGATTTCTCATCCTGTCCGATAAGGGAGTTCGACAACTCATTGACGCTGAGTTGTCCTGGAACAGTCAAATGTCATTATACGTAGATCCCTTATCCCGGTCCTACGAGTTCGGTGCAGTACATTCCCCTGCAAAAGACATCCCTGTGATTTGCAACCTTGACGTTGTAGTTATAAAACCTTTACTGTTTCGCTGTTGTAATATGAAGAATTTCCAAGTAAAACTAACCAGGTCGACAGAAACCAAGGGGTATATTTATGTAAACCCCGGAGTAGGGGAAGAATCAAGACGTAGAGTTTGTCAGAATTACGGCTTTTTGCGTTACAAAGAGAGGGGAATGGGCCTCTACTAATACTACTACTGCACTAGCTATGCGGTCTTTCAGCCAGCCATCAGATTGCAAGTAAACAATAATAATGTCTCAATTCAAATATAGAAAAGGATCGTTTCTATCTCCCACCGCTAGTATGTATCTTTCATGATAACTGAATGGCTCGGGCCCCAATTTGAACAGCTCATCTATAACAAATGTCAAAGCACCCAAAGTCTCACAAACTGCTGCACCCTTTGTGTATGTCTATCATGTGCTTTTGCAAATTCTCCACTTAAAGACCCAGGTTCCACTGTGTTAATGGGTGCTACGTCGTTGAAAAGACCTGCCTCAGTGGGATCGACTTTCCTGCACCGAGTGGTGGCTTTGTATCCGATGATGAGCGAGAAGTAGAGAGGAAGGCCCAGATACGAGGTTGCAAATGCCGTGTAGTCAACTCCGTGATGGTCGAAGATACCAAAAGTCCTGAACAAAGTGATCATGACGCATGAGACGAGCGCAACCCATGACCCAAACTGTCCCAGTGGTGCTTTGAATACCAGGACCTCATCCGGAATCCTTTGCGCTCTCCGGGCTTGGTCAAACGAAAGATGCGTGGCAAGAATGGAAACCCAGGTCAGAATACTGAGCATGGTGACAAGGTTCATGAAGTAGCGAAAGAGGAACTTGGAGTCGGCAAAAACATTCAAATAGGCCAGCGTTGCCAAACAGGAAGACAGGCACAACCCAGAGATGGGAATCCCTCGTCGATCTGTGAAGGACAGACAGGCAGGGGCCTTTTTATCCAGAGACATTCGGTACAATGTTCCAGTCGCCACGTGGAGGCTAGAGGTAGCAGATGACAGTGCAAACAGCAGAATGCAGGCATTGACGATGTGTGGAAGCACTGGAATGCCCGCCATTTGAATTGCCACAATAAGAGCTGACATGGGAAGGTTGTCATTTTCATTCGACCTGACCAAACCGTAAAGGGCAAGTATTACCACGACGATGATACTGACAATGTTGAGCACCACAATCCGGTAGGATGTCAATCTAATCGCACGCGCAGTGGTCTTGCGAGGGTCTTGTGTCTGTAGAATAGTCATCCCGATCATTTCACTGCCTAGGTAGGCGAGTATTGCAGACGGTAGAGTGTCACAAAGAGCATAGAGATACTCAGGCCATTCGACATCTTCATGATGAAAATTAGAATCCCTCCAATTTAAAGCTTCGGAGCGGATCCCAACCGCAAAAGCGGCACACAGTATGACAAGTCCCAGCACCACGAATATCTTAAAGGACGACAATACGACTCCATATGTCCCAAAGAATGACGATGCATAGTAATTCGCAGTAATGATGATAATCAAGAACGCAGTAATCCAAACCCCGGCGTTGACGCACTGCGTTTCCGCCCAGAACGAGATCAATGATGCAGCAGCTGTCAATTGATTCGGGACGACGACGACGTATTTCAACCAGTATCTGTTCCGGAGTCCTGCGTCAGAAACCTTGTCCAGTTGAACCCGCTAGGAGATCTGTTGACTCACATCCAACCAATCGCAAAGCCCAAAGCAGGATCACAAAACCGAACCGCATGGCCAGCCACTGTGGACTGGACTGGAGACCATGATGCCACTTCTCCAGCCGCACACAAAACCAGATATACCACCACACCAACAAACGCATACGCAACTATTATGGGAACTATCTGCAGCAATCAAACGGTCAACAAAGCCTGGGGTAGTTATGCGCGCAGGACGAACTGACTCCGGTACTAGAATGGTGTCAATGCTGTTTGTAGATTGTAACCTTTTATATTGGCCTGGCCCTTACCCTGTTGTCAGACTGCTTGCTGGAAGAAGCATCAGACCAGTATGAATGGCTGCGCCAATAGCTGTACACCTTAGTCGACTGATTTCGTATGCACTTGGATAAAGGGACGCACTCATCATGGTGACTTGGTGTGGCTTCATCACTCCATACTTGTTCGTAGGTCGTGCCTCGCATTTGGGGGTCGTCGAGGGGAGATCTTGACTGCTTTGCAGGACTGGATCGTCTTGTGATAATGACTCTGTATTGACCCTGCGCGTGGTTTGGGAACCATCCAACGACGAATTCGACATGGTGAACGTCAACGTATAAGTAGGTATGAGGGGAAATAGTCATAGAACAAGTCAATTAAAGATAAATGAGAAGCGATATAGGGAGATTGAGGCGTGCTGTGCTCATCATAGGGAGACGAAACTAAGTAGAAAAGTTTCGAGAAGAGAATAGGATGGGGAGGTGACTCTTTACGGAAAGAACAACCTAATACCCGTAACCACCACACGGCGGGAAACCACCCTGACTACTGAAGAATACAAGGAACGATGGATAATGTGCATAGAGGAAAATCTAAAGTTTTCTTTAACACGGAAATGGAGAGTTGATAAAGATATTGGGAATCCTCTCGGAACAAATGAATAAAGTGACACAAACGCCCCGGAAAGTCTAAGATATCATCGAAAACAGAAAGTAGAAGAGAATGGAAAACAGAATGAAAAGTCATCTTTTTTCCAGACGAGGAAGCAAACACGGTTTGCTCTTCCTCGAAAAAAAAAAAAAAAAAAAAAAAAAAAAAAGACTCATAAATACATCATATTTGCGGAAGGGGGATAAAGAACCCATGTGGATCGACGAACGGCTATTCCTGGAACGAAGTTCTATCTGGACATGTAGAGGGAATCACTAGATTCGGTTCGAGGGAAGATGCGAGTGTATAGAGAGTCGCTCGACTCGGATCGAGGGAATGCCCGCTGGTGGGCTCTGGAGATGATCCGATCGGTGTAGACACCCTTGGCCGTACCGCCAATGACACTCTGGAGATAATCCTTGAAATCGGTGGGTTGGAAGTCAGGGTAGAGTTCCTTGGAGGTCAGGTAACCCAAGTACTTGGCAAAGTCGGGGGTGTTGTCACCGCGGAGACCCCATGACAGCTGGTATTCGGCGAGATATCGCGGGATGAATTTGACAGGGTCGAAGGGGTATGTTTCACTGGACTGTCTGGCTGCGAGAACCCGATTGTAGACCATTTCCTCCGAGATCTGAAATCAGAGATTAGCCTCAAGCCCACGTCACCGGGATTGATCCTGCAACTTACATAGTTGCGGTTAATTTTCTCCTCACTAATATCCTCGAGAATGTCGTAGATCTGGTTCTGGGTGACAACAGTGTTGTAGGCAAAAACCATCTTGTTCAAAGTGCGGTCATCGAGGATGATGCGGGCCATGTAGCGACCAATGTCTCTCAGGTCTGTGATGGCGGTCGGAATGTCACCGTCGCCCACGAGCTCATTGTTGGCTGTGGTCATGGCGTAGTCGACCCGGCCAGATTCAAGACGAGGGTAGGAGAGCTGGTACCACCAACCGACATCGACGATGGTGTAGGGCAGGTGGAGTTGCTTAATGTGGTTGTAGACGGTTTCTTTCTGTAACGACCCGAAACGTTAACATATGATGTCATTTTCGCTCCGGTCAGTGCGGGAGACCGGGATGGCAAGTGAAAAGAAGGTGGGAAGAGAGCAACCGGACGGATGTGGATGGACGTACCTCATCTCTCAGCCACATGATTCCACCGGCAGGGGCGACCGTGATGAAACCGCAGGGAACGAAACGCTTGACGCCAACCTTCTTTGCGGCTTTGGCGAGAGGGATCTGATCTTGCTGCTCAGCCGGGCCGACACAGCTGATGACAATGTCGATACCCTGGAGAGCATTGGCGAGGGCCTCTTCGGGGCCCTTGAGGTCGCATTTGCGGATTTGGACACCTCGTTCCTGCAGAGAGACGATGGCGGGTTTCTGGACGGATCGGTGACGGACGAGAGCGTAGAGTTCCTGTAGAATGAATGTGGTTAGTTCGATGAAATCATAATCTCTTTTTTTTTGGTAGTTCTGTTCCCCTGCCCTCGCTCACCACTCGGGGCTGTATTTTTTTTTTTGCTCTCACTTCGTCCCTTTCGTTTTCTTGGAAGTTGTCAAGGAGTGGGGGTGTCATACAAAAACCGGGTTCTCCAGCAGACCGTTGGCGATGGAACCACCAGTTTCACCGGCGGCACCGACGAGCAAAACTCTTGTCCGCGACATTATGGGCAGGGAGGACAGAGAAGGTTAGAGTGTTGCGTTGGAGATAGCACCAAGTAGTAGAAAATAGGCGGGAGTAAAGGGCGGAAGGGAGAGAGGGATGAGAGGGGAAGAGAAGAGAGTAGTGGTTAGTGGCGGTTAAGGTGGTGGAGGTGGTGTGTGTGTGTGTGTGGTGGTGGTGGTGGTGGTGGTGAAAGAGGAAAGAAGAGGAAAGAGAAAGGAAGAAGAAGGAGAGAAAAGTCGTAAGACCGAAGCGGTAGTAAAGCCAGGACTGGCGGCGACGTTATAAATGGGTTAGAGTACTTGTAGTGTCCTCTTCTACAGCATTCAGACTTGTCTCCCCAAGGATGGCGACCCTCTCTCCACTTGAAGCCGGGCAGTGGGTCTGGTTGGGTTTTGCAGGTGAGATGCTATGTTATGTGTACTAATACAGTAGTATTATTCTCTATTATAAGTAGTAGTATAACCACTATATAGTTCTTTAACGAGACTATTGAAATAAGACTGACTATGAATTCCTTCCTCTTTCTCTGAAATAATGTCAATAATGTTTGTCATGTCGGTGACTCGAACCAGAGACCAAAAACTGGTTACGTCATGGCTGCTCACGCTGCCCGGTCAGTCAGTCAATCTTCAACAGGAAAACGAACAGAAGTCGAATGGAAGCCTCTAGATCATCATGACCACAGGAAGTATTGGATTGGGTCATGCCATCATAGGTAACGGTCTGTATCATCATGTCATATACATAGTGCACTCTCGGAGGACTCTGCTGCGAACATCCAACAATATACAGAGTACCAATACCAATTGAGTCTGAATACTCCGATCGGTCAGGCTTTTTATTTCATGAACCCTCTCCAACTGAGCCGTATTCTTTACTATGTAACTGTAGTCTCAACAGAAACCCCCACGTCACGATCTTCAGATCGGCAACTGGTCAGGGCAGGATGTAACCGTGTGACAAATGCCTCTTTAGTATTCTGGAGGGACTGTACGGAGCCACACTATGAAGGATTCTTGCAGACGCAATCACGAGGGGTTGCTGTACTGAGTACATTGAAACACTATCTGCTGATGGGGCACGTGAACAGCCATTATGGAGTACATACAGAAATCATATGGGGTACTGTACTTTACACTGAGTACATTTAAACAACCAGTTAGAATTCACGATTTTCAACCATGGTCAGTCAAATTGACTATCCCACTAGGAATATCATTACTCGTCACCCAATATCCTCAGATCCTTTGTCCAAAACACTCTCTAATCCCAATAGTGGACAAAGTGGTGCTGTACATAGTCTTACTGTTCAAAAGAGGCTACTCCGGTCTCTTCCGCCAATGAGAGGTTCCATCGGGGAAAGTCGGTGTACTCCGTACACTATCCTTTAAAGCTATTCTGTATGTATGGAGTACGGAGTATTATATTACTTGTACCCCGTACAAGTACTATCTTTATGCACTCAGCCCCGCCTGGTTGGATCCCCAAAGCACTCAGTACAGGGTATACACTATGTCACCTCCATCAACAATTACCCCGATACCAGAACCAGAGGTCCAGACAACTCATTGGAGCAACCACTCAGCTATGCCCAAATAAACTCAACGAAGCATTTATTAACTATCGGGCCCTGGTCTCCTATCCGAATCATTAGCCAATAATGGCCGTTAACTGTACGCTGACTGTTAGGGACAAGAGTTACTCAGTCCGTTCCTGGCGTCGTGATACATTCCAACGAACAGCTTGGCCCGTGCTGCTCCAGGCAACTTGCAGGCAACTTGTAGAAAGCTTGCTTACTCTTAGAGAGAGCAGTACTTTGTAGATACCGTGCCTATCCCTGGATTCTAAGGATTGCGTATGGTGTGGAGAGCATTCCTGGCCTGTGTTTCGGAGTACCAGACCGAAACCTCAAAGAATACATGGGTAGGATTGGAGACGATCGACAGTAATGGATGGAAGATGAATCTAAGGCAAAATGTTGCCATTCTACTTACAGGAAAGATAGACATAAAAGCATCATCCTATACTGTATACTGTCACACTGCAAAATATAAAATGCCACTCGATTGCACCAGATACACATTCTAGTGCATTGATCGTGATAATAAATATCGATTAACATGAACATATCTATTGTTCCACTAAATTACAGTGATGTTGAAGATGTCATAGATCGCTTCCCCAGATTTTCTTCCCCGGACTGTATGATGCTCCACGCCGCTTGTCTGTTTTGGGCATTGCTGCCTGCATGCCTCAGATCCCCTCATCTTTGACCATCTCCCACAACACCCCACTGTCATCATTCCAGACAACAGGACTACTACGGACTAGCCTCGAAATTTCTCTTGTCGACGTGCTTATAAGCTAATGTATATTTACCAGGATAACCTGTTAATCTCAGTCACCTATCAAATCTCATCGGCATTTCCCCGAACCCTATCCTTCCTCGTCTATCGGACGCAGAGCGAGCCTGACTGCAGAACCAAGCATATACGATGCCAGAGAGATCAATGCTCGAATCAACGTCTCGAATTGACAAGAAATACGCGGAACATTCCGCTCCGCTGTCGCGCTCTGACTAGCAAAGGCGCCTGAACTAGGATACTTCCCCGCAGCTTGTCACTTCCAAGATCCGGGGTTGGAAACTCTGTTTCGAGCTTTCGCTGGTATCAGCGCGGGGAATTAGACGACATGGCTGCAGCGGACATGTACCGGTGTTGGGTATGGCCTGTTATTACTAGGGGGTTTGAAGGATAATAATGGCTGAACTCTTCCCTTTTTTCTCTCTTCTTGAAGGTGGTCGGTCGTCTTATCCTTTTTCCCTTGTCCTACCAATTGCAATTCTGGCTAGAGGCACTCGCACTACCCGCTAAGTAGAAACAGAAAACATGGGCGACGTCAAGTCAAACCCCGACTCCAAAGCCAATGCCGCAGAGGCACCTACTATCGAACATGAAGAGTCTGCCCAGGAATCGAAATGGAAGACGGCAAAGCCTGCCGATGGCGATGTCGCCATGGCATTATTCAACAACCTAGCCGACCTCCATGAAGACGTTGATCCGGCTGAGATGAGAAAACTGATATGGAAGATCGATTTCATGATTCTGCCGTATCTTGCCGTTTGCTATGCGTTCTTCTATATTGACAAGGTAAATCTGGAATTGACTCAAGCAATTGATGTTTGCTAATTGTTTAGACAACCCTGAGTTATGCTGCTATCTTTGGCATTGTCGAGGATCTCAACCTACACGGTACACAGTACAGCTGGCTGAGCAGTATCTTCTACATTGGGTTCTTGATCTGGGCATTTCCTACAAACTTTCTCATGCAGCGCTTGCCTATCGGTATTTCTGGGTCCATACACTGCTCATAAGGATACCACTGACATACCCTCACTAGGAAAATACCTCGGTGTGAACATCTTCATGTGGTGCGTCAATCGTCGAATCCCACACAATATCAACTGACAAAAGCAGGGGTGTCTTCCTCATGATCCAAGCCGCATGTAACGATTTCAAAACCCTCGCCGTCCTTCGAGCTCTTGGAGGTGCCGCCGAAGCTTGCGCAGATCCGGGTTTCATGCTCATCACGAGTATGTGGTATACGCGACGGGAACAACCAGTGCGAATGGGTTTATGGTATACTGCCAATGGACTTGGAATTGCGCTTGGTGGCTTGCTTGGTTACGGCATTGGAAATATCAAGGGTGCTCTTCCTTCATGGAAGTACGAATTTATCGTGATGTACGTGGTCCTGAATATTTCCACAAAAGGCATACTAACAAGTGCAGTGGTTCTCTCTGCTCAGCATGGGGAATAGTCATGTTTATCTTCCTTCCGGATTCGCCTGTCACTGCGCCGGGACTCGACCAGAGACAACGTCGGATGGCCGTTGAGCGATTAAAGGAGAATCAGACAGGTATCGAGAATAAGCATCTCAAGCCCCGTCAAGTGCTCGAAGCATTCCTGGACTACAAACTGTACATCTTCTTTCTCTTGGGTATAGTCTGTATGTGACTGTCACTATCCCTCTCGATGAACAATAATCATTTTAACCAATCCAACTAGCCAATATCCCAAACGGCGGAATCTCCAACTTCGGAACGATTATCATCCAAGGTTTTGGTTTTTCAACCCTAGTCACCACACTGATGCAGGTATATCGTCCAACTCACTCCAACGATACACCCATAATAACCCTCCCTAGATCCCCTACGGTGTCCTAATCGCCATCTCCATCCTCGTATGCGTCTACCTCAACGACCGCTTCGAAAACAGACGCTGCGTCTTCATCCTCATATTCCTCCTCCCCAACATCGCTGGTTCCTTCGGTCTGCGCTTCGTGTCGGCAGATCAAATGGTTGGCCGTTTGATCTGTTACTACTTGACAGGGCCGTATAACGCAGCTTTCGTTATGATTCTGAGTATGCAGGTTGCGAACACGGCAGGCCACACAAAAAAGGTCGTCACCAACGCAGTCCTCTTCCTTGGTTATTGCACAGGCAATCTCGCAGGTCCATTCTTCTACAAAGATGCCCAGAAGTGCGTTCCCTCTTCCCATCCTTATGGCCCAAAGCACCTACACTTACAATTTAAACAGACCTCTATACGAACTAGGCATCTGGTCCATGATCGTCTCCCACCTAATCGAAGTCGTCCTCATCATATCTCTCGGGTTCCTCCTGCGCTGGGAGAATCAGAGACGGGACCGGATTCAATCTCAGATGGAGGGCGGTTTGGAGGGGAGGGATTTGGATGCTACTGCGTTTTTGGATTTGACGGATCGCGAGAATTTGAAGTATGTTCCTCTTTATTCCTGTTGATCGTTTGAATGAATATATGTGCTAACGGATTTAGTTTTCGGTATATATATTGACGGATTAGTTTGGTTGTCTGTATGTATTGTCTTCTCTATGGGCGGTTATGCTTTGCGTTTCATGGTAGAATAGTTTTAGATTTTTCGGAGATTCATGAACAGAAGTCATTCTAGTATATTCATAGAACATGAGAGAAGACACACGCAGTATTATACAACCACAGAACCCAAATCGCACACCAACCACAATCACCGTCTCTGCCGTCTCTGACCCGTAAGAGCCGACTTCTTCTTGAGATAGTTGGACACGATGTTCTCCACGCTTCTCATATCGTGTCTGGGTTGTCTGTAGCAAAGCAATTAGCACCAACAATCCCAACCCATCATCAATAAAAACCAAAACATACCTCATATAATACAACCTCGCTCTTCTCTTCCTCTTCTCCGACCTCTGCACAATCTCCACACTCTGCACATCAGGACTAAACACCTTCACCCACATCTCAACACCCACCCTCGTCAACTCATTCCGCAACAAAAACGCAGTATCCACCCCGCGCAGCCGGATACTCAAACACACGCCCGAAAACGGGTCTCCGTTCTTGAACGTCACGCGCAGGATGTCGCCCGGTTTCACGCTGCGAGGGTTCCGGCGGTAGTCGAAGAGGGCTTTGCGTTCGCCTGTTGGGTCGAGGGTTGAGAGTTGGGATTGGGTTACAGCGTTGATGGGTTCTTTGCAGATGTTGCGGGTGCTGGCGGGTGGGGGGTAGATTTTGAGTTTCTTGGGGGCTGTTCGAGGTCAATTGTCAGAGTATTCAATTGCCTAAGAGTATGGGCTGGCAATGGATGTACCTTGGTCAGGACGCAGTCGAGTCGGTAATTGCGACATGAACGACTTGGGCAGTTTGTTCGGAAGAGGTGCTGCGTCTGACTTCGGGGTGTAGGCTGTGGAGATAGTTCGACGGCACAGTATCGATTCGGGGGTTTTCAGCAGCGGCCGTAAGCAGCCCAGCTGCCGCATGATGGGTGATATGCTCGCCATGGCTTGTTCTGTCTGGCGATGGACTGCGAATTGAGTGAGGGCCGAAGGGAAATATCTTGAGGCGGAGTATTATCCGCTCCGGCAGAATTATTGCCGCCAAGCCTTGAGTTTCCTGTTCGGGTCAGCCTCTCATCGTCTAGGAACTTTTTCCTTTTCGCTGTACCAAAAACGATTTGACAAATTCACACCCACGGTCTTCTGTCTTTGCCTGTGCGGCGTCAATTCGAGGCAAGCGCTGAGTGCTCTACTTACGGGGCGCAGAAGAAAAAGTTACAGCCCCGCGCTATCCAACATGGCCCAACGAGCCGTTGGCAGGCTCTTCCGCGGCCAGAGTTCCGGTTCTCTGCGCCCATCAGTTGGTTCTTTTACACAAAGGCGCAATTACTCGCGAGATGGTATGCTCCCCTAAATCTCTACACCGTTGCCTCAATGCTGAAGACCGATAATGGGTGAAAAGCAATCCCGACCTTCCCCCCATCATCCTCCCCCGAACTCGACCAAGCCCTCAATCGCTTCCGCGAAGAACTCTTCGTCCCCTTCGGCCTAAACGAACAACAGCGCAGACTGATGTTCCGCCACAAATACGCAGACATCTTGGACGAAGAACCCGTGACCGTGAACATCGGCAAAGACGATGAACCCTTCCTCCTCCGACCCATGGACCCCATGATGAGGCCTGCAAATAAAGAAGCTATCGACACAATCGCGCTCATGAAGACGCCCAAGGATTTCCAGAATCTTGTCCCCTTCCTCACGGGTCTCCGCATGTCCCACCGGCACATCAAGTACGGCCGCTGGGAGTGGGTGATACGCCGGGCGAACCAGGCGGATGCGCTGGGAGTGATTCTGGAGTGTGCGAAGCAGGCTGATAAGACTGGGCTTTATCTGAAGAGGAATGCGCTTGTTCAGCGGTTGTTCTTTGAGTTGCACCGCAGGGCTCAGCGTGAGGAGTTCCAGGACCCTGCTCTCTCCAAGGCGCTGCGTCTGGCTACCCAGGCCATCACTCTTATGGAGTCCCCCGAACACACCCAGATGGATCCCGAGGAGGACCCCAAGCGGAAACCCTTTATGGTGGGTGTCCTGCTCGAACTCCACGCCGCTCGCGCTCTGAACCTGCTCGAAGGAAAGGACGAAGGTAACTCCGTGCGGTCATATGCTCTGCGGCTGCTCGGCACCTGGTCCAATGGCAACTTTAAGAATCCCGCCAAGACATGGCCCGAGGTCGATTTGAGATTGCAGGAGATTGTCCCTATTTACAACGGTTTGAAGCTCGCGTTGCAGGTGCTGGAGACTGCAGGAGACAAGTCGCTGTACAATGATCTGAAGGGCCGTATGAACGAGCTGAACATGGTAATTGCAAGGAGTAAGCAGATGGCGCCGGAGAATGTTAAGCAAAGGCTCGAGCAGCAGCCGACGACGGGGTATGAGCAGGCTGTGCTTTTACATCAGGATTAGATTCGATGTTTCTTTTCTTTCTTTGTTTAGATTGTGTTCTCACTATGTATATTACCAGCCAAAATAAGCTTACGTGTATTTGAGATATGTCTTCGGAAATGGATGCCATTTTGATTCAGTTGCTTCGGTATAAATAGCGGGGCAGTCGTGGTGTTTGCCAGGAAGCAGTACATGAAGACTAATTGGAAAAACAGAATATGCTCAAATGTTGCTATATTCAACAGATCATGACAGAATACATGTTAACTAGGAGACTAACTCCAGTGTGTTGTCTGGACGGAATCGTCCCTGAGCAGGAAGGGTGGTCTTCCCAGAGACGACAGCGGGGCCAGCGGCCGTAATCTGTGAGATTAATTAGTAACACGAAAATATTGAGAAAAAGACACAAGATGGCTTGGCTTACCTGTCCCTCAACGACCCTGTCCTGCTTATCGTCAGCAGCGCTAGTCAAGAGAATCTCTGCACTGCTCAACGGGCTTCCGAAATGACTAGCTCCTTCAAAGCGTCTGTAGTCGAAGACGTTGGTCTGGGCGACTGCACCAGCAACACCAGGACCGGTCAAAGCGTACACGACACGAGCACCGGTGAAGATCCTAAGATCAGTCAACTGCTCAGAGGCCAGAAGGACGTCCTTGTCTGCGTCACAGCGGTGCGAGATGCATATCAAGCGCAACTTGTCGAAAGAAAGTTCCGAGGTAGGACCCATGTTGCCAACCTGGTTGAGAAGACCGTGAGAGGGCATATTTCCGGCATCTAGCTTCCGGGCTTCGAACCAGTGAGTGATTGAGGAAATGAGGCCCGTGTGCGGCTTCATGACCTTGCTGTGGTAGTCTGACATGGTGCGGGAAGAGGCGACGATGACGGTAGGGGACACTCCAACGGTAGCCAGGGCAAAGTCAACGCTTTCACCTGCAACGGAATTGAGCGCGACAGATGCGTTGGCGTAGAGTGCCCTCAGAACTTGGCACAGCGGGTAAGACCGAGAAAGGGAGTCGATGGACAGGACCAAGTCATTGGAGTCGAACCGTTGAGCACGGGGCAGCGTAGAGTTAAGCGCACCAATAGCCGCAACCAAGTTCTATCTCAAGTCAGTCTTTTGAACATAAAGGGAACGTAAGAGCGCACTAACCTCTGGCTTAAAGTCAATGAACTTGCCCTCAGACGACGAAGACGGCCAAACAGTAGTCACACCGGGGGACGGTGACTTAGGGTCGTAGGTGGGAACCTCAAGTCCAGCCAGGTCCCTCTTCTCATCAACCAATTCGTGCCAGACAGTGACCGACAGGGCGCCTTTAACATCCGCGGGGACCTCGTTCCAATCCATATGGCGGCTTCCAAGCTTGGCAACCCAGACCACTTGAGAGAGCTGCTTGTTGCCCTTGGCTACAGTAGACAGGTCAAGGGCACCAGCCTCAGCGATCAACGTCTCGGCCTGCACCTTCTGCAGATGCGTTGACAGAATTTCAGGCTCGAGGTTGTGAGGCACAATGACGACTCTGAAGCCATAGAAAGCACCGGCTATATCATGACTTGTTAGTGCCAGAACAAAACGTAGGGCAACTGTCCGAGTACGAACCGAAGATAGAAGCCAGAAGCTCAACGGAGTCAGTCAAACAAACAGCAACCGTTTTCGCTTGCGCAGCCTGAAGGTAGTGACCGATGACGTTGATTTCTTGGGTGATTTGGTCCAACGAGTGTTCAATTGCCTTCCTTCCGAGCACCGTATAGATCTTGCTCTGCTTTCCGGAAAGCGAGCCATCTTCGTTCACCACACCACGCACGGCAGTCTTCCAGATGTCCCGCAGATCACCCTTTCGTCCAGCGCTCCATTTCGGTGTTCCGGGGTCCCTAACATTAAGACCGGACCTTAACGGAAAGCCGTATGGTGTCTCTAAGCTCCGGAATGGCGCGGATTCTCCCGGTTGTCGCACAAAAGTTTCAGTAGATTGACGAGCGAGAAGAAATGGATGGATATCTGGGTCTTTCGAGGCAATGAACGAGAAAATAAGGAAAGCAACAATGCCGCCTGCAATCACAGTCGAGTAGATATTCCAGTCAGCTAGCACATCGGCTATTAGAGCGTCCAGCTTCGCTAGCAGCGGCGTTTCCGAACCCATTCTGCACGTGGTCGATTGTTACCAATAGCCAGTATACATGTACAAGCGGAGCGTAAGAATCAAATGAATATCTTTCCAAACAGATAATAATTCATAAGATGACACCTAGGAGGGGCAGTTGCCTGTATATAAACCCCGAGGTGGAGAGCTCCAAGGCGGCTGAGGTCATCCGCCCCAGCGCTTACATTCACCGCCCGAGGACCGGCAAAATCTGGCGGCAATGGCGTCTGTTGCAGTGAGTGACGGCGTGCGCATCACCAAAACAAGCACCTCCCACACGACCTTTAATACTAACTGCCCACTTGTTGCCGCGAGCTGACTCTTTCCTCTTTGAGTACAGCTAGCTATGGTCCTTGTCGACTTCAGGTAGGTTATCAATACATTCATATCATCACACGTAAATGTAGCTACGTGTGTGCGAAACAAGGACAAAATTTCCACAGGTAAGTTCAGCGCAAGTTTCTTAATAGGTAAGTGCTCGTTCTCTTCACCCTCCTATACAATGCGATCTCCGTGACTTACCACCTAGCTGGTGCAGTTGTTATTTTGCTTTCTCTTTTTTTGTTCCCTATCATTTTTGTAAATCAATGGACTCGCAATCTCTTCCCTCGACCCCTCGACCAGGATCGACTCCTATTCCTACGCCGGACGAATCTCGCACTCCAGGCAAATGGCGCCATCCCCATCTCAATGAAATTGTGCGGCGTCAGAATGCGGCTACGTTTGGCGACCATAACGTGAGAAGGCTTGTTTGGAATGGAGCAGCTTTGGCTGCGACCTGGTTTTTTGGGGGTACTTTCAAGTCATAGTGAGTGGTGATCGCATGGGACCAATCTCTCGCTGAGGTCGTTGTGCTAACCGATGATTCAATAGTGCATCTGGTCTGCGCATTTTCAGCGACAATCCCACTTACCCAGATCTCTCGTTGCTGGGCTTGCAGCTCTTTTTCGTTTTGAACATCTTCGTTGCATTATACCCCGTCTTCCGACCGAAGGATGATCTCGTCGATATTCCTCTGACTCCCACACAACGCTCGCTCTTGGGGCTGGACCCTTCCGCTTCGCATCATGCGTCACCGGGAACTACCTACGTTACTCCACCGAGATACCGCGTTTCTGCATCGCGCACAGCGAGTCCAGCAGGCAGAAGTGCGTCATCATTGTCGGCGAGCGCGAGCTTTTCGGGACAAGGAGCTTCATCGGGGCCAACATTCTCGCCTTCAACGAGCCCATTGCTCTACAAGGCAGTGTCGAATGGTGGCAGGGAGAACACACGGAGGCCAAGCTTCAGTTCCTCGACGGGGCTTGGTTCATCGGGATTTGGCGCCTCCGGATTTAGTGCCTCTGGATTCGGTGCTTCTGGGTTTGGTGCCTCCGGGTTTGATTCCTCGCTCGGGTCATCCTCTCCTTTCGGTCGGAGCTCTCTGAGAGAGTCTCACTTTGGACCTCCCGCAACTCCGTCGCCCATTGGAGGCAAGCGCGTGAATATCGGATTGAGCAACAAATGGTTGTACGAGAGGAGTAGGCGGCTGTCAACTAGCAACGGGGCGCTTTGAGTGGTTACTTTGCTTTGGGAGTGTTCTTCGTTATACTGCACGCGGGGCGGGGTCAGGCGTAAATTGTGTGTTCTGTATTCTTTTTTTCAGAGAAACCATTATTCCATCTTTCGGATCAGCGACTAGAAATCAATTGAGTTAAGCATCTTTAATTACAATGAAAAAAGTACGTTAATTTCCCCGTGTTACTATGGGGAAGTACATATACTCCGCAACGCAGGCAAGCCGGAGCGGTCATTAGTTCCCGCCAACGACGGCCGGAAACGACAGACGTACTTGTACTTGCATACACATCCCCAAAGCCACTCTTCCGGCATCAAGGCATCCCAGGTGCATCATCTTTAATTAAAGGATTCATACTAGGGACACCAGCTTGGAATCTTCCTTTGAATGCGGTCAAGCGTGATCAACGGTTGGGGATAGCATCACAATGGGAGCGTCGGAGTCCAAGCTTGTGTTTAAGCAAGGAATCTTTCGCCTTTCTGAAGAAAGAGACATTCCTGCTGATGATCCTTACTGGACCAGGGTTTGTGACTTCATCTATCGCTCCATTCAACTTAGCTGTGACTGACTATTTGACCTCAAAGTTTTGGGAATTGCCAGAATCGACCGAAGATGTCTTCAGCTTGTTCACCCCCGCAGACATTCGACGAACGCGCGACAATGCACTATCGAACTTCGAGACCCTACTATTGTCTATAACCTCTCGCCTCACCGTCCTAAAGAACCACCCTTCGTTTCCGGACCCAGAACTCGCTCCTCCTAAAGACGCACTCAACTGTATCCGCATCCTGACCCGAGTCCTTCCCTTTGCTTACGAGGCCGAACATCTGGAGGATTGGGAGGAGAAGTTCTTCTGGTCACGTCGCAAGAAGAAGACTAGACGGGCGCAAATTTCATCAGAGGTCCTTTTCGATGAAGCGCAAGCTGAAGAGCAGCGGGACCAGGCGTCGCCGCGAACTGACGACTATGAGGACGTGAAGCCCTTGGCAGAGGAGATCATTGATACTGTTCTGGATCTTCTGTTCTATACAGACTTTACCATCCCTCGAATCTCGACGGCGACTAGCAAGGTTTCCCATTCCATCTGGCAGAGTGGTGTTGGTTGCAACACGTCAATGGGGTCGAATAAGGAGATGGAGAACAACCGCTGTGAGATCCTTCGGCTGTTACTTACATTGACCTCAAAGGCGATGTACATCTCATCAAGTAAGTGCTGCGTCTCATGTTTTTCTCTGAACCAGCTGACGTTTCCCAAGCCGTGCTTCCGGTACAAGGAGTGAAGGCTGTTACGTATATCACGACATGCCACGATAAGCAGACGGTCTTGACGCTGCTATGCTCGCTATTGAATACAGTATGTATACGAATGTTAGTATCTTGAAGATCGACGCTCACCCGATACAGGCGGTCAAATACAACCCTGCTTCCTGGAGAGTCCCATATGATCACGTCGTGTGGAAAGATCCCAAACAGATTCTAGTTATCTATTGCTTGCAGTTTTTGCTCGTTCTTCTTCTGTATCCGATCCCTGAAGACGGCCGCGGCGCTCCCCCTAAGAACTACTACCGCCACTACTTTGGGCGGTTACACAGGCCCCAAGATTTCCAATTTCTTGTTGACGGAATGACCAGAATTCTAAACCAGCCAGTAAGCTACGCCAACAAATCTACGAGATACATTACTAATGGTTCAAATCACAGATGCAAGCGACCAACTCTTATCTTCCCGGTAGCCAACGCTCTGTGAAATGGGCACCGGAAATGCTAATGCTCTTCTGGGAGGCTTTGCAGTGCAACAAGCGATTCCGGTCATTTATGATTGATTCGAATCGCGCTCACGACTTTGTTATCCTCTGCCTCTTCTATGCAATTGAATACAAAGCCGATCCATCCAAACAAGGAGTGGTCCGTATGTGCATCTTCATTCTGCAGACAATGAGTGTTGAGCCCAATTTTGGGAGAAGTCTAAATAAGAAGTTCGAGGCTCAAGATACCCTGCCTCAAAGCATTCATATTCCTAACTTCAGAGGCTCTTATGCGGATTACCTGATTATGGTTCGTTCATCTTTGTACAGTTCAAAGATTGCTGCTGACGTTGATAGTCTATTCATACCCTAATCACCACGAGCAAAGGGATGCTAAACGCGGTTTATCCCGCTCTTCTGGCCATCACCAACAACATAGCTCCATATGTGGAACATTTGTCACCGGGAGCATGCTCCAAGATCTTGCAGCTCTTCTCGTCAATGTCGACACCTAGCTTCCTATTAGCCAATGAAACGAACCACAACCTTCTCGCGTCGATTCTTGAATGCATCAACTCTATTCTTGAACATCAATTCTCCAGTATGTTCCAAGTGGCAGTGCTTTTTAATGTCAAACATATCGCTAATCAAGTACAGATAACCCATATCTCGTGTACGCCATCCTGAAATACCGTAAGCGTTTCGAAGCTGTTCGTACATTCACACTTGAGAGTGGGCAGCAAGAAATCGAACGCCAAAATGAGAGGAGAAAAGCGAAGAATAGCTTCGACTCGCTCGGCAGCATTACTCCTTCACAGTCATCAGAAGACCTCCATGCTTCTGATGCACGGTCGTCTCTAAGCCGTATACCCGAAGAAAATGGTCCTTTTGCCATTGGTGAGGATGATTCTGATGATGAACGAGATGACGAGAACACTGCGCCACCATCTACTCAGACTTCTCGGAGACCCTCCGTGTCATCAATGATGGACGAGAGCGTGCCGCTTCAGCTTCGCGGAATGTCTGAAAAGGCACGGGGGAAGATGCCAGCTGGACACCCAACCTTCTCCCGGCAAAATAGCATGACAAGCCAAAGCAGCATGTCCGGTAGCTTAGCGGTATCTCCCAACGGTTTCACACCAACCGCTGCCTGGGTAAGCAAAATCCTTTAATCGATTTTCTTTCTCTTTTATTAACGATAGCGCGTCTAGCTTGAATCATGGTTGCCGGAGCTTCCTCTCCATACCGTCCTTACTATTATCTCTGCCATTACTCCTCATGTCCCCGAGTCCGCGTTCCAAACGGTTTCAAACCCAGAGGCCCGTACTCTGATCTCCAACATCTCATCTTTCGAGGGGGATCCCGCAATCCGGACGATTATTTCGGAGCCTTCGCCCATCCGTGTTCATTCCTTTGAGTGGTCCCCGCTTTCGATGGGATGGTATGAATCTCTGCTTTGGGGATTCATTTTCTCCAGTGAGATGGTGGTTGGTACCGCGTCCGGTGCTACACCCGGCACTGTCGGTGTCTGGAATGGAACAGGCATTCGGCTGTTCAAGGTCCAAGAGGCTGCCGCTCAGGGGCCCACGTTGCTTGCACCCAAGGGCGCAGTTGATGCTGTAGGAAGCAATCTAGTCCAGCGCATTGGAAATTTGAGTCTCCGACGCACCAGCACGCAGGAATCCCAGAACAATTCCAGACCAGCAAGCATCCGGGAGGTCTAATATACGACAGCTGAATGTCCACAATTTTACTGGTAATATGGGAATTGGCTATGTCTTTCAAAAGTGCGGTATTTTCAATGATTCCTGTTTCGCTATGATACCTGGCTGGCGTTGTCGCAACGCGATCGGGCGGCTTTTATTCAACAGGGCTATGATTTTAATCAATACGTATTTATTGTGGTTGCGCTTTTCGAGGAGAACGGACGTCGGGGAGGTCCGATTAGGCGGATGTTTAATCGTAGATACAATTGGCTACTAGTATGCGTCCAGTTACCACTGTTATATGTACATAGTTTTATTTCTTCAACCTCTTTTTAACCCCTTGTTGTTACCTTTCCATATATATGGCGGCGCCCCACGTGACTTGGTACCTGGATCGCCAAATACGAAGTAAATAAAACGTAGCAACAACAACTGCTCGGGGGTTGATTTGGTACCGAGGCATCCAATTCTTTTGAATGGCCATATATTTGAAACTACTTACTCCGGAATTGAACTGGATCACCGTCACGATGAGGCTATTCCTTTTCATCGCGGGTGCTTTTGTATCCGCCGCTGCCGGCATCTCGCCGGAATTCCAGAACGTGCTTCAAAATACGCATAAAAGCAACGAATATGGATATCCCACGGACTTTACGAGGGGGATAATGCCCGTGAGTCCAGTGTTTTTGTTCGTGTTCGTTTTATGGGAAGCAGAACTGACGAATAGGGAACAAGATCCCGGTTCATTCGCACAAGTGAGTCCAGATCCCTGGTTATAGTTGGAGAAGGGCAAAGTCGCTGATGGTTTGACAGTGATTATTGGAGAGATATTCCATTTTATACTGGTCTTTCAAAGGGGTGTATGTCTACCGAAGCGGATGTCTGGCTTTACAATGGCACTCTTTTTGTGAGTTTGACGTATCTGGCTTCTTTTATAGAATTGTCTGTGCTGAACTTTGTATAGGTTGGTCATGACGAGTCCTCTTTGACGGGCACGCGCACTTTGGAGTCACTCTACATCAATCCGATACTGGATGTCCTCAGACGTCAGAATCCCGAGAGTCGGTTCGTGTCTGAGCCTACAAAGCAGTAAGTCCGCGCTGTCCAAGATCAGGGTTGTGAATGGTCTGGTCTAACTGAAATAGCGGCGTCTTCGACACTGTCAGAGATCAGACCCTTTACTTCTTCATTGACGTGAAGACTGCCGGCCCCGAGACATTCGACGCCGTCATCTCGGCACTGGAACCACTCCGTGAGAAGGGCTATCTCACATTCTTGAAGGACAACAGGACCATGAACTACGGACCCGTCACCGTCATCGGTACAGGCAACACGCCCCTCAAAAAGGTGGCCTCTACCGCAGACCGAGACTACTTCTATGACGCACCGTTGGACGCTTTAAACGACCCGGAGTACAAGGGAATCACGTCTCAAATTTCTCCCATTGCATCTACCAGCTTCAAGGACGCTGTCGGGGTCGTCACTTCTGACACGGATCCTATCCTGAACGACGAGCAGACGAAGGCGATTCGTTCGCAGATTACTGTTGCGAAGGAGAGGGGAATTGGGGCTAGGTATTGGGAGACGCCCTATTTTCCGATTAGAACGAGGAACCTTGTTTGGCGGACGTTGCTCCGGGAGGGTGTTACGTTGTTGAATGCTGATGATTTGTATTCTGTTGCTGAGTTCTTCTGAGGTTAGATGCTGCTTATACTACTATTATTATACCAGGTATAATTTTTCATCGTGGTTCTTTCAAAGGGTTCGGACTGGATTGAGGGCCATTAATGAGAGGTTTAAATCCGATTATTCACTGCCGTTTGGCACGAATTATGTCTCGTAAACATGTAAATATGACTTCTTTTGCTGTATCCTGTATTATATACCCTTAGTATAGTCTTAGAATAACGTTAAATAGAAAGTGGAATCCAGGGTCAAGGCACGTGATGCACCGCAAAGGACGCCGTCAGGAGGAAGTCAACGCAATTGAAATCCCCTAATTCTCTATGAACACAAGCACCATTGGCATCTCGCCTGGCTGCCCTAATGTCCACAGCCGATGCTGATCTGGGGGAGCTCTTGGCTCAGGTGCTCCCCGCCGGAATCAAAATCACTGTCCGACATGTCTCGTCCACTCCGACCCCATGCTCCGCGCTCTTTGCAGCACCCCCCGGCGAAGAACCAGAGACCACTTTCTGCGCGAGCCATTTCCTGTCCGTCTCTATCAATAAGGATGATCAGAATGATAGTAACGGCAAAGGGTCTGAGATCATCGTGTTCGGAATGGAAGTGCTGGTCTACAGTACCGCGCACTTGACGACCATCTTTGTCTCCAAAGCTGACTCTACGGGCCACTTAAATCTACTCCAGACTGCGTCCAAGGTTTCGCTACTGCGATTGATTTCGAATACGTTCCTGTCCTTCCTCCTGCGTACCCATCAACGACCGGGCGTCCGACTCGTGCTATCCCTGTTCGCGCGCGCGCAAAACCAATACCTCTTCCCCGGAAGCATCCACAACCCAGGAAAACACGTCCTCGACGATCGCGGATTGATAAAATGGTGGTGTCGCGTGGCGGATCCGATTCTACGAGAGTATGAGCCGGAGTCTGGCGGTCATGAGAAAGGGCTTCTGGACCGAACAATGGAATCCGCAAAGTGCTCAGCTACGGCGTTCCTGATCGTCCCGGGTTGCGACAAGTTCGAAACACGAGGGTTCTTCCCGCCCGCGGCTAAAAAAGATGACAAGGAGCGTCCGCGATGGGTCAGCAGTTATCCTGTCCGTCAATTATGCGACAACCCCGAAGCTCCTCCGCGTTGCTTGATTCCCCGATTGCCGGACGATCCGAAGACACGGTTCTTGATGGACTTGGACGATGAGTTGCCTGAATTGAAGGAGCCTGAAGAACAGAGCAAGAGATCCCCGGGTCAATGGCGGAGTATTCGGTCGTTGGATCAGTTCTGGGAGATGATGTCTTTTCGACAGGAGTGTTCGGCTGGGCGATTGGTTGGATTCTTGTGGCTTGTGGTTAATCCGCCGGGGCTGGAGAATTCGGTGCAGATGACGAGCTCTAGGGTGGTGACTGGAGGCGCTGGAAAAGAGGCTACTGATTCTACGGCTTCCCAAAGCGCACCAACCGAGGAAGAATCGAAGATGACTTCACCGTCGAAGGATGTTCTGAACGATACCAAGACTCAGGCACCATCGCCGCAGCTACAAGAGACCCAGAAACAAACTACTGAACAACCACCATTCCACTGGCCAGAAGGCGGACGAGGAGACGCAGTTCTCAGCGAGGCTGATTACAAGGCCGCTGTTGACTTCCTTCTTACTCAAGACTTTGACAACGAAGAGCTTTCCATTGCCAGCACCAAGGAATGGACCGAGGAGCTCGCATCCATTACGGACCAGCTTTGGGTGGGCAAGCATGTCGAGGGCAGGAACACTAGCACCGGACAGCCTGCATCGCAAACCTCTCAGACAACCAATCTCATGAACAGTGGTCTGGTCCGGAAGCGGAAGAAGGAAGACCAAGGCCAAGACACAGCGAAAGCCGGTGATGGTGCTGCGGCTACTTCGGAGCCTGCCCAGTCCTTGTCGGGTGTCAATGTGCTTGGTACGAACTTGATTCGGAAGAAGAAGAAGACGTAGAGTATGTACGAGTAGCAGGTGGGAAACAAATATTTGCATGGGACGGGGATTCGGAGTTCTCTTGGGAAGCTATTAAAGCTGGGCGTTATGTTAAGTACCAATTATTATGTAGTATCTAATCATGTATACTAGTTTTCATTCTCAGTTGTTCAATTAATGTCAAATAATGCAACCATTGTTATTGCTGAGGCTGTGTGAGGCTCCGCGGGTCACCGCAAATACCCCGTAGCGTCGAAGCTGTTACCCACCGACAACCATCCGTTACAGCAGAAAAAGGTCCCTGCGCACCGAATCCACGCTGGATCCGCTGTTTCTGAGCGGTTCAGCTGGTTCAGCTTCTCTTCTTTCCTTCCTCTTGTTTCAGCCGCGCCAGTCGAAACGTCGCGATTTGCGCTCGACTCTTAACCGTCTCTTTGCCTGGCATATAATGTCCTCATCGGCCGCGTTGGCCTAGGACTTTCAACTGTTTGATCTCCGTCGCAATCGCCCATGCTGAAGCCTACGTCACAATCGAAGTCCTCCGATGTCGATGGAGGGTTCCCGTGGTTGGACGCCATGGGTTGGGGGTGTTTGATCTGGTATACCACGGTGCAGTTGGTTTGTGTTGTTGGATACTACCAAATGTCTGCCCTGTTATTCCAGGGAAATGACAACTTGCTAATTGGTATTCGTCTATAGATGGAAGTATTTCTTGCAACGACCTCCAAAGTCCAGCTCGACCACTCCCGTCTCCCACGCTCCCCATGTGACCGCCATCCGACCCATCAAAGGATTAGAACCACATCTTTATGAGTGTCTAGCGTCAACTTTCTACCAGGATTACCCTCACGATAAACTGTCTATACACTTCTGCATCTCGTCCCGAACGGATCCCGGCTATCCTACGGTGCAAAGAGTTCTGAACGATTTCCCCGATGCCAACGCACGCCTTTTTATCGAAGACGAAGATCCCCTCCTACATCCGCAGAATGGCGATGCGCCGTACGCTTTGGGTCCCAACCCGAAAATTCGGAATATGAGTCGGCCATACCGCGAAGCAAAGGGCGATATCATCTGGATTGTCGATTGTAATGTTTGGGTGGGACCTGGTGTCTGTGAACGGATGGTGGATAGACTCTGTGGCACTGGGAACACGCCTGGTAGGAAATACAAGTTCGTGCACCATCTCCCGGTTGCGGTGGATGTTACGGGTGAAGGCAGTTTCAGGGAGGAAAGGAAGGCACTTCTTGACGGGGCCTACGACGGCAACGCTGCCAACCGTGATGCAGTGGTGGCTGCTCTTCCACACAAGGACTTGGATGCTGCTGGGGCCATGGCAATGGGAGGTGGTCGTCTTGAGGAGTTGTTCCTGTCCTCTGCGCATGCGAAAATGTACACGGCGATCAACACGGTACTGATTGCGCCGTGCATCGTGGGCAAGTCCAACATGTTCCGTCGCTCCCATCTGGATTACTTGACTGCGCTATCGCCTACAAACCCGCACTCGCGTCTTCCCGGCATTGACTACTTTTCAGAAAATATCTGCGAGGATCATCTGATTGGGGACTTGTTGTGGAAAAATCGGGTTCGGGAGGAGGAGATGGGCGAGCGTTGGGGCAAACATGCCATGGTCTTTGGGGACCTCGCGTTCCAGCCGGTGGCCAACATGAGCGTTCAAGCCTATCTGGCACGACGAGTCCGATGGCAGCGTGTCCGCAAGTTCACCGTTCTTCTCGCCACGTGGGTCGAGCCTGGTACGGAGTCGATTCTGTGTTCCCTGTATGGAGCATGGGGTGTCACGACTTCGCTAGCTCAACATTTGCAGAATAAGGGGATCGAATGGGCACCCTTGTTGTCTACTTGGGTCGCATTCTTTGCATTCTTCATGTTGAGCATGGCGGCCTGGATCTTCGTGGATTGGACGTTGTACATCAAACTGCACTCCGCGAAAACCGTCGAACTTGATGAGAACACGCCATCATTTGCTCAGCCACCAAGCCGCAAAGGCTCGACTACCAGACGCCCCTTTTTGACCTGGTTTGCTGCGTGGTGTGGACGGGAGCTTCTGGCATTGCCGATTTGGTTCTGGGCGTTCTTTGGGGGTGTCACGGTGACATGGCGGGAACGAAGATTCCGAGTGGGATTTGATGCTAAAGTGCGCGAGATTGAGTCTGGATCGAAGGCTCCATTGGAGGGCTCGTACTCGAGCGGTAGTCGGGGTTCTTCCAAAGCTCGACGGGATTAGTTCAGCAAAATTCATGCAAATAAACCATTGGTATTTTTCATCAGATCATAGACCATAGACCATTCATAGATCATACAAATTATTTCTTCTCATCCTCCGCAGCCCCAGACCCCGAGCTCTCCCCAACACCACTCTCCAACTCACCTCCCTTATCCGAACTCAACAACCACTCCGCAACAGCCCTCCCCTGCGACATCGGCCCCTTTCCTTCGCCTTCACCTTCACCTTCCCCACCAGCACTAGCTTCCACCTCCGCCTCTCCAGACTCATTCTCATTCTCCTCTTCATCCTCCTTCACCTCACCAGTCGACCACGCCGTCCGCTCAGCAAGGAAAACAGCATCAAGACCAGCATCGTTCTTCACGGAGATATCAGCACCAGCTTCCACGAGTGCCTTGACGCAGTCCAAATGCGTGTTCAAGGCAGCCCAGTGGAGGGGTGTGTTCCCGGAGTGATTGCGGTGGTTGATCAGTTTTTGCAAGTGCTCTGGTTGTGTTTTCAAAGCTTCCAGCAAGTAGCTCAGAATCTCTGTTCTTCGTTAGTACACTTCACTTCCACAAAGCTTTACCATCCTTGATACGATGGAAGGAAGCAGGAGCAGGTGACATACCAATATTCCCATTCGCAGCCGGAAAATGCAACAAACAGCTCCCTGACCCGCCCTCAGCTTCCGGCTCTGCGTCCACGGCTGCGGACAGCACGACAGCCTCGGGGCATGCGTGCTGGGTGCTTAGTGCTGCGAGGTCCTCTTTGAGCGCGGCGAGGTCGCCCGCGCGGGCGTCGTAGATGAGGTCATCGATTGCCTCGAAGGAGAGGGTGAGGGTCATTTTGTTTCTTTTGGTATTTCCTCAAAATGGATATGTTCGATTGTAGAATGGGGTTGGTTGTCTGGACAGGGTTAGTGATTCGTTCACACTTCACAGAAGCACAGAAATAAAATGATGGAGGAAATTTGCGATTTGTTAAAGCTCCTAATGCTGGAGTTCAAAACCATATACTATACATGATTGCTTGTATCTTGTTTTGGCAAAGCATCCAGAGGGGCAGTACGAGTGGAAAAAAAAAAAAAAAAAAAAAAGAAGCTACAGTTTGAAGGCACAACGCCAACGAACCAAAAGATTTGCAAGTAGGAGAGAAACGAGACCAAAACAATTCTTACCTGCTTTAGACAAACTTCTCAGTGCTGTCTCCTGCGCAGCTCTCTCTGGTGTTGCGATGATTGTTGGTCCAGGAAAAACTTCGATGTTGGGTCATGTGATATCAAAGTGGGGATCGCCATCGAGGTCCGTATAGAGCTCTACGGGTACAATTGGGATGACTACGATACAGCTGGACAATGCCTGTTGATAATATACATTCATTGAAGGAAAAGCGCATGCTCTAATATGATATGCAACAGCCCAGAACAAATTAAACAAAACGCCGCCAAGGTATCACTCCGTATGCGAAAAACAATACAAAACCAACCCATACTAATCCCGCAACCAAGCCCGCCGCTTCTCTTCCTTCTTTTCCCTCCGCTTATCCTTGAATGCCTTGAGCTCCTTCTTGCTCAGCTTCTTAGCACTCCGCTCCGCCCGGAGACTTCTCCCATCGTGGGTGTTCGCCGCCGCATCGACGTCAAAGAACGCGTTCATCTGCCGATGGGACTTATTCTCGTCATTGTAGTTCTCCGGCCGCAACGAGTCCGCCTGCCACCGGCCAGTAAACCGGTTGAACGCCCCCGTAGCCTCGTAGGAATATCCCGGCGCCATCCCGGGAACGCCACCCGCAGCCGCGGAAGCTTCTGGGTTCCGTTCCTGTTCGTACTGCTGCGCGTACGGGGCGGTCGGGTCATAGTCGCCGTGGATGGCGGGGTTATAGCCGCCTGCAACGGGTGGTTTGAGCTGCTCTTGCTCCTGTTCTTGTTCTTGGTCGCCAGCGGTGTCCGGTGCGGACGCGGGTGCGGCCTCGGGGACGCGGGGGTTCTCCCATTGCGAGGCGCCTGTGAAGTGATTGTAGAAGTAGTAGGCTTGTGCATTTGGATCCCAGACGGGTTCCCAGCCATCGTCATCCCCTGGAGGTGCCTCGCTGGGGAGAGGAGGGGGGACTTCGTTTGGCAATGGGGGAGCTGAAGCCTCTTCTTCTTTTGTTTCTCCATCCTCAGCCTCCCCTTCCTCTTCTGATTCTTCTTCTGCCACTTTCTCCTTTCCCTTTATTACATCGCCTGTGTCCGCTTGTTCTTCTTCCTTGTTATCTTCCTCTGCTGTCTCTGGCGCGATCTCTGTAGGTTCCTTGTCGTGTTGCGGAGATGCAGGAGCTGGGCTGCTGTCGCCCTGGTCGGTACGGTCAGGGTTTGGAGGGTGGTCGGTCATCTTGATTAGTCTTCTCTCTGAGCTGTGTGTATGATAATAATTCAGGATCAATGGGAGAGGGTGCGAGAGAAGGTCTACAATGTGGTGAATCGCAGAATCGCATTGCGGATGGGAATTCGAGTTACGTTGACACTAAACCACTTTAGGAATAGCGCATGTCGCATGTTTACTTACATTGAAACCGCAAAGAACAAGGCAAGAAAGAAAAGACGCAAAATAGTATCTCAGAAAAAGCCACTTCACTCCAGCATAACCTTCTGCTCAACCACAGCATCAATAGCCTCTTTCGCCCACTCCTGGCACCGTCTCAGCGGCTCCTTAGGATACAACCGTCTAGCCCCCTCAAACTGCTTCTTCGGAACGGGAATGCTCTGGCAAATAGCAATGAAGCGAGGATAATCGTCTTTGGAAACAGTTCCGATGCGTTTCTTCTCAGCGAACACGGGCAATTTCTCCGGTTCTTCGGTGGCTTTGGCTTCGTACACCATACCGTTTTGGATATCGCCTTGGACGTTGTAAACGTGCCCGGTTTGGGGGCCTGCTTCGTGGGTTTCGACGAAGAGGGCGTGGTGGTCCCGCGGGAGGCCGGTTTCGATGGTGAGGTAGACGGTGTAAGACATGATTGTGTTTGTGGTGGGTGTGGATGAGGGATTGGAGAGGTTGAGCGTTGATTTTTATAAGAACCAGGGAAACATCAAAGACAACTGTCGAATCACGTGCATGGGATGTGGTCTAAGTCTTTATTGACAGAGCTTGCATTCAATGTCAGCAACTAGCCTCTGTTACTCGTCTTGCTTGGTGATGAGATCAATGCTTTGGGGATTTCACTATACCCTGTAGTGGAGATCTTTCCTTAACAACAATATGAACTACGCCCAGCTACTGAGTACACTGGATCACCTTTCCATTTGACAAATAAGGAAGTAGTAAACGGTCTTCCGACATGTATTCATGATTTCAAATTAAGTTTTTACATGTCGACATTACCTGCGTCCCGAGAAGGTTGTGGAAGGAAAACAGCGTCAGTAAGGCTAGTTAGAAACACGCTTCTTCGGGCCCAACAGACTAAGTCCAGTTGATGCTGTGATACGACTGGATGGCACGAGTCTCATCAATCCTTCAATAACAGAGACGAGAGGTGCGAGGTCTGGAATATTCACATGTTCAACAAGCCTTCGTTTTAGTTCTGATAATTGAGTATCTATGAGAATTAGCCATAACGTTCTCTTGCATTGCATTGTTTGTAACTCACTTCTCTTCCTGTCAAGCCCATGTCCAACACTGTATTGTGCTTTCCAGTCTTCTGGCATATTATTCGTTCCCACTAACCCTATCATCTGCGCCACCAAGGCATTGTTATCACCCTTATATGTAAAGGGGCTTGCCCCAAAAACGAACGAGTATATCTATAAATATCAGTATAGCATTCAAAGTAGAGGCGGGGGGTCACTTACCACACATCCAGCACGCCACAGGTCAACTCTATAGTCAAATGACCCCGTGAAGATAGTCTCAGGGGCTGGCAACAGCCCAGGTTTGGCTGCTTTTCCATTCTTTTCCCATTGAAAAAAGCTCCTACCAAAGTCGATTATTCGAAGATCTTCGTGATCCTCCTCTACCCAGCTATCCCATACTATCGCCTTTACCAGATGCGTTGGTAGCCCTTCATCCAGTGCTCTACCATCCGAGCGTACTAGTGGCTCGACCTCTGGGACTCCGACGAATTTGAAAATACGTTCTCTTATCGTTGACAATGATTTACCGCTGAATACAACAGTCCATCCACTTATGTCTATCATCATGTCAGCTAAAGCAAAGAGTTGGAGAGAACAGGGTATTACCTCCATGCGCCATCCCGGCACTATGAATAAACTCGACGCACTCGAGGAGCTGTCTTGACATTCGCATGATGGTACCGGGCTCAAGCTTATCTCCAGGATCCGTGTATTCCGGGTGATCCGCACAGGCGGAGTAATCCATGAGCACCCATTCGACAGGCGGCCCGAGCAGCTCAAATACCAGACATTGGTGGTCCCCATTAGGGCCGTTGTGAGAAAAGATGTCAAGGAACTGGATGACGTATTTGGAGGACAAGAATCCCTTGCATCTCCCCTCCAATAACTGCAAATGATGCAGTTCTCGGGATCTCGATGAATCGTCTGCGTTTGCAGTCACGATCTCAAGTGAAACCCAGTAGCCATTGCTGTAATGCGTTAGTGGTGATAACATGAACAGCGCGGGGCCATCGCCTACCTTTTGTCGTACGCCAACCAGGTTGTCGAGTACTTTCCCCATCCTAGTTTATGATGTACCTGGTAACGGCCATCTTTGAAGCTATCACCGAGGGTGACTGGATGGTAACCGCCTGGCTTATACCCTAACAATGGCTCCTGGGTATAAAACAGGTGGTTTGGCTGATAGATGAAGGTCTCCCTCATTGTCAAGGCCAAGTAGAGCTTTCGAACAAATCTTTTGGTGGAAAAGGATTGCGAGAAGGGAAGTTGCTATCCCTTCTTTCCCTTTCTGGTCACGTGTGCATTCAGTCCAGCATTCGCCATGCTATTGAAATATTAACAAATTGGTTTTTCTCTTGTCTTGTCTAAAACATCGAGATAGGTCCGATGTCTATACAATTCGTTGAATTATCTATATACCTTCTTGCTTCTTCTACAACGGATATCTCCATACATACAAACCAGACTAACTTTATTCAATCAGGAAAATGAAACCAATTGAAAAGAGCAAATAATAAACCAACATCTCACGCTCCTCCACTCCAGAGGCAAAGACTAGAAAGGCCAAAAAACCGACACTGAAACAGGTCTATACACATTCCACACAAACGCTCGAAAAATTAGAAACGAATACGACATTGCCCTTATCCCAATCTTCTTAGCGAAACTGGAAGATGTTCTCATCAGGTGTGATTGCCTGGTGCACAACCTCCTGCGGCTCCTTTCGTCCGGCAATCTGCACCGCACATGCTGTTTCGATTGAGTCCACCATAATCGTCTCATCGGAGAGGGTTGGCGAAAGAGGCGAGATAGTCGAGACAGGGGACATGGGCGGGGAGAAGGCAGTCGTGGAAGATGTCGGAGAGGACGGGCTGAAGGGACCAGAGTAGAACTTGGGAGAGAACTCGAGGTTGAGTCGGAAGCTGGAGCGCTGGCTGGCGCGGATGGCATTGAAGATGTCGATGAGAGAGCGACGGTGACTTAGGCGGGTGGAGAGGTAGGAGAGGTGGTGGGGGTCTTGTTCCTTTCTGTATTCCAACGGCTCGGGTGCTGATACCGGCTCTGGTTGCTGTTCAGGCTCGTGTACCTGGATTTGCACTTGCTCCTGCTCTTGCTCCTGTTGTTGATGCTGCGGCTCTTGGTATTCTTGGCTTTCTTGTGGCTCCTTTTTTTTTGCTAATGTTTCCTCGCTCGGGGCTTCTGTCTTTGATGTCTCCTGCTCCGGTGATGTAGTCACAGCAGTTCCAATCCTGTCAGTTAACTCCTCCGCCTCATGTTCCTCCTTAATCGCTTCCTTGATGCAATTTCTATATCCAGGAATCATATCCAAGCAAGCAGACGTCCTTGTCGTCGTCCTCGGATTTTTTCTAGGCGTCGTCACAGCCGGTTGTGGTGGTGGTGCCGTCGCAGCCAAATCCTTCTCAATCTTCCTCATCTCCACAAGAACAGCCTCCTCGTCAGGCTCAGGCATGAGGATCGTCCGATCATCGCTGAGGAACGACGCCGCATCTGAGAACCCAGTATTCAATTGGTCCTTTTCGTCCCATTCCAGTGTAGGCTCCGAATTTGAGTATTCGACGATGCGGATGGAGGGTGGTGCTGTCTCCTGCGGGGAGGGCTTTCTGGCGATTCGATGGGGCTTCTGGGGGAGGCCGGAGGAGTCGATATATGTTGGTTGCTTCTGGGGATCATGGTGTAATGGGTCGCTTCGTATGGTAGAGGAGTCATTGGTTGGTTTTCGGGGTTGGGCGCAGGGGAGGAAGAGGCTTGTTAGCCAGCCCATTTTCGGTTAAGTATAGCTATAGTAACGAGTATATGCACAGCAAGTAAAATGAGAGAAGAAAAGAGAAAGTTTGCTTTCGTCAGAAACAGAAGAACAAAACAAACAACTGAAAATGGGAGAAGATAAATTGCCTTTATATGTCAATGCATCACTGTCCGAGACAGGGCCAACCGTCGGACTGGAAACGAGGCAATAAATGCAATATCCAATATTTATGGTATAGTTCCAGTTAGGTTACAGAATAATGCAGCTGTACCTGCATGTGGCAATTCCTATGCATTGAGAAGCCTACACCACTCGACAATTCATAGCATTATGACGTTGGATATTCTATTTCGCACTTCTATCCTCAACACATCAACATCATAAATAATTCAATCTTGATACTCGTAACAATCACAAACAAACATAGCATCAACCTCAGACATCCAGACATCATCAGTCCTCGTAACCTTGGCCACCCGGACGTGCATGCATACGATACAGATTATACCTGCAAGGAACACGAACCAGCCACGGAACAGGTGTCTGAAGAAGCTCTTGATACTAGCTGTGCTGGCTGTGTCTCAATCTGAGATCATGAATGCAGGTACCAAAGCGGTATCATGGTGGTTGGTGAAGTTTTATGGTGCTGTAAGGAGATCTGGGGAGTGGTTGTAAAGGTATGAAATTAGGGCTGGATAGCAAATAGCAGACACCAACCACTCAGGAGCAGTGGCTGGGAGTATATCCCTTTAACCAGTACGGATAAGTACGGATAGAGCTTCAAGGTTTTATTTTTTATCCCTAGATACATCGTACGGCTGAGTTCGAGAAGCTACTGTCTTGGGTGAGATAAGATGGATTTATCTGTGGCTTACTACCTCAACAGGCACGACTAAACACATAAATGATACAAATCATAACATTGTCGAATACTCCGAGAGAAACGTTCATTTTGAGAGTATTTTCCTACCACGATTTCGAAACTTGCTATTCAATATACAAGCAAGGGATACGATATATATATCCCTAGGAAGCATGTGTGGTCGCGTTCGGAGAAAAGGACTGGCGAATCTTTACACCGTACTTGAAATGTTGCTATCGACTGACAAGACTGCTATCTAGTACAGAGTACTCTGTAGACAGTAGTAGTAGTAGTAGTAGTAGTAGTAGTAGTTTCTATTTTACGTCGGAAAAGTGGCACGTGCGCTGGTCACGTGCCCACCGAGATCCCGGAGCGGAATATACGACGGGCGAAGCGGACTCGCCTATCTAGTAGCTAAGCTAATTTTATCATACATACTGGCAAAGGCTCTCCCATAGGAGCCCGCCTATGATTATTGGGGCCGCGTTCAGCGGCGCACACATTCTGTGGAGGAAGGGGGAGGCGAAAAAAGGAAGGAGGGGGGTTAGGAGGAAAGTCATGAAGAGTTTTGAAGTGGAGTTGGTTAGTACGCGGGGCATATCATGCGGTAAAAGTGAGACCTCTGCAACCATTCATGGAAGTTTCTTGTTCCTGACTTAGAGCGCAGGACCTCATCTACCTGCTGGTTTCCCCATGGATGTGGGGATGCCTTGTGGCCTTTCCGGCAGAAGTAGAAGTGGTGGGGGGGGTTTTTGGCTCCCACATAAGCATTCTATCTTCGTATCTTCATGTCTAAAACGCTCATGGTACTGGGCAAAGTCTCCATGGCCAGACTGGGCAGCAAGGAGTCGGCCGAGGGTGGCTCTGGGGAGAGATAGTTCATGGGGTCATTTATTCAGGCCTATTGAGAGGTCCTGATATTGCTGTGGTGCGTTCTCAGCCCAAAAAGATTGAAATCATCACCAGAATTCTTCCTTCAATGTCCAGTGAGCCCAGGCGTATCTTGCAGGAGGGGAGTTGGTCTGTGGAGTGGACCTTGCTCCTCTTTTTGCTTGAAAATCTGCCTGCTCGTTCCCTTCGATACCAGTATGTCCAGGAATCCAGTGGACGTGAACTTGCCTGGGTGGGATAGCCGGGCACCGGGAAGACCGGTTGGGCCAGGCATCCATGGCTTCTTGAACAGCCTGGATGGTCTGTTGGCTAGAGCCTCTAGGAAGGCCCTGCAGCTGTCGTGCCACCTCCTGGTTGTCAAGAAGGAGGTATAGGTTCTGTGTATATGGGGCCTGGACACTATTGATGGCTGCCTTCAGTCCTTCATGTGCTGCGGTGGCCTCTGCATCAAAGACTTCATGATGTGGCAGGGAGAGATGGCCACAGGCGGATTCCTGCTTCCACACTCCCCAGTATCCATACCATCCGGCGCCAGCCGCAGTGTCTGAGTTGCCCAAGCGACTGCCATCAGTAAAGAGGAACATGGAGAGTGGAGGGCATGTATCAGCCCACTGTTGAAAGGTCACATCTGCCCTGTCTCGGGTGGAACAAATATTTTGGATTGTTTTGGGGTCCTCCGCCTGCCAGGGGGGATATAACAGAGGGCCAGTCTGTTCTACCCCCTCCAGCCATGGCAGGTGATTGTGGGTTAGGCGTGTGTTTGCAGGAAAAGATCGCGCTCGGAATATGCGCCTGCAAACTGGGTGGCGATTGTCTAAACTGAAGGCACGCAATCTGGCCGCAGTGCGCTTCTGGTCAAGGATGATCTCCATCAGGGGAATGGCAGTTTCTCGATGGAGAGCTGGAATGGGGGTGGTCCGGTATACTGGGAGAGTACCTCGGAGAGCATCTCTGAGTACCCGGTCAAGGTGAGAGAGGGAGGAATCGACTTGATTTGATACAGAGCCCTGGTTCCTGGGCCTGGGCCTGTTTCAACCCGGCCACCAGGCCTCAGCCCCATAGCAAAGGACTGAGATGACACAGGTGATTGTAGCCTGCTGCAGTAGGTGTGCCCTAGTCCCTCTGACTGTATTGGCTAGTGATCTGATACCAGCAGCTGTCTGTCTGGCCTTTGCAGCTAGGGTCCTGCAGTGTTTGCTAAAGCTCAATCTCCGGTCAAACCAGATGCCTAGCCAGCGCGTTGTACCGCCAGGAGGGGGAGGTGTGACTGTGTGTGAGCCTTGAGTGGTGTGAATAGAGCATGTGGGGTTGGAATGGTTGGTTCCA